GCCCTTCCCCCTGTGGCTGCAGGGCCCTGCCTGGCCCGACGCATGCACCGGCAGTGGTAGCCAGGCCAGGCTGGGCAACGCATGCACCGTGCACCCCGGGGGCAGCGCTGCACGTCCAGGCCCAGGGCGCCAAAATGGCTCGGGCTGGCTCTGCTCTTACTGCTAGCATGCCTGTAGAAATCTTATCTTACACATCCCTTGCTAGATACAATTCCAATTGCATTTTGGCCTTCCTGAATACATACTTGCATGCTCAAGCAATGTATTTATACTCTTCCCTAGTCATCTGTCCAAGTTTCCACTTCATGTAAGCTTCCTTTTTGTTTTTAAGCTCATCAAAGATTTCACTGTTAAGCCATGTTTGCTTTTCTTACTGCACATTGGGATGGTTTATTACTGCACCTTCTATAAGACTTCTTTAACACAGCCAGCGCTCCTGGATTCCTTTCCCCTTAGCCATGTTTGCTTTTCTTACTGCACATTGGGATGGTTTATTACTGCACCTTCTATAAGACTTCTTTAACACAGCCAGCGCTCCTGGATTCCTTTCCCCTTCATGTTAGCATCCCAAGGGTTTCTGCCCATCAGTTCCCTGGGGGAGTCAAAGTAAGCTTTTTCTGAATTCCAAAGTCTGTATTTTTCTGCTCTTTTTTCTTTGTTTTGTCAGGATCCTGAAATCGACCATCTCATGATCACTGCTCCAGTTGCCATCTAAGTTCCCTCTAGGGTGTGCACCTGCACAGGCATGCACAAAGAATTTTAGTTCTGCCCATCTTCTCAGCAGAGCCATGAAGCAGCACTCACCTTCCTTAAATGTAGAAGGTAAACTGCTGCTGACAATGGGCTTGGTGGGGGGGGAGGCCAGGGCCACGTCACATGGTAGGTGGCTGCTCTGTGCTGGGACTGAAGCCAGGATACTGACTCCAGCCCCAGCACAGGGGGCAGTCACTCACCAGGGGGCCCCCACCTCAGGAGCAGCTGGGCAGCCCTAGCCCCACCTTCCGCCTTCCCCAAAGTAGCTGCTGGAGCCGCAGTGTGGCAGCCACCCACCATGTGACCATCCCCCAGGAGCAACTGAGCAGCCGCCATGAGGTCCTGACTGCAGCTCCAGCTCTTCCCCAGCTGCTCCCAGGGTGGGACCACGTGGTGGGTAGCTGCCCTGTGTGTTGGGGCTGGAGCCGCTTCTCTTGGGGCTGGGGCAGTGGTGCAACAGTTCCCAGCTTGGCACCAGTAGGGAGCAGTTCAACACAGTGCCAACCAAGCAGGGGTGGATCTATTTGAGTCTCCTCCCAGAACATCTAGCACATGGACTGGTCTATACCTTAGGACCAGGTGGGTGCCAGGTTGGCTGGGTGCCAGGATCAATGAGTGCCAGGCTGGTAGCATGGTAGGCTTAGTTTCAGGTTGGAAAGGTGTCAGAATGGGAGAGTAGGTACTCGAGTGGGATCCAGCCAAGGGCTGCTAGGTGTGGGGTGGTGCCATGTTTGGAAGGTGCCAGGCTGGATGTAAGATTGGGTGCCAGCTCTGCTAGACAAGGGGGCGCCATACAGAAAGTGCTAGGATGGATGGCTGCTCCCTCAGTTCACTGCAGCTGCCTTTTTTATAAGGTTGCTGGATCAAAGCCTTGGCTCCAATCCAATTAGCCCTCAAAGCCCAGCTGGAACAAAGCACGCACAATTCAAACAGTCCCTACAACTAGCACCAGTCAAACAAATGCCACAGACAGGCAGACACTTAAATTCTCACCCCACCAATTAACACAGCCCCCCCAATACCACAGTCACCTTAGCTCCTCTTAGACATTTCCCAGGCAAACCTCTGTTGGCTGCTGCCATCAAAAGCAGTGTGAGGTGATAGTCTCTTTCGTAGTTCTTGGCCGGAAATTTTGGCAAATAGGGCACTTGGCTAGTGCCCTTCTCCCAAGCATGATTCATGGGGGTCCACCTTGTGCATCAACTTCCCACAACTTGTGCAGGATTTAAACTCTTGCAATGAACAGAAACAAGGATTTGTGCTTGCCAAGCAAGAAAGAAGAAAGTGAATAAGTGGTGGGTCAGCAGTGGTATGTATTCCAGTGCTGCTCCATGGGGTTCCACGGTGGTGGGTCAGCAGTGGCATGTATACAACATGCAGCCATTCCAGTGCTGCTCCATGGGGTTCCACAGCTGATGTGATGGGCACTACTAGGAAATTGATAATTGTACACATGGTGCACACACACGTATTGGAATGGACATGAGCAATCACTCGAAAAACACTCAGTCCTATTATTAACAATCACTGGTGACATTCAAGTATGTGTCAGAGACTTGAGACTTGAATAGAAAGAACAGTCAAAAACCAAATCACCTATACAGTACTTGTTTGGCTGTTTACCCTAGATGAAATCCCTTTAGTGCTGACAGTTCTAGATCAGTGATTCTCAACCTTTTCCCCCATGGAGGAACCTCTAAAATAATTTTTCATATCCCAAGGAAGCCCTACCTATGAATGTTTGGTTGGCCAGAAAAAGTTGACAACAGGAAGTGCAATTCAATTACTGCTAAATTTTTTCAAGAAAATTTATTTGTAAAGAGCTGTTTTTTATATATCAGCTTACATTGTAAGAAAAAAAATTGGAGCATTTTTCCTGTCTCTCTCTTCCTGCCTCTCACTCTTTTCTCTTCTCCTCCCACTCCTGCCTCTCACTTTTCTCTTCTCCTCTCCCTCTTGCCTCTCACTTGCAGAGCCCAAATGGCTACTTGCTCCTGTGCGGCGGCTCGGATGAGCTGTGCAGGAGTCCTCACCCTCTTGCACTGTTTGCTCCAGTGTGACAGCCCAGCTGAGCGGCGCAAGTCAGATGAGCACCAGGGCAGGAGGCAAGGGGCGTGAGACACGCTCCGGGCCCCACCTAGCGTTATTCATTCTGCGATTTCTCACGGAACCCCAATGATGGTCCGTGGAACCCTGGTTGGGAATCACTGTTCTAGGTTGTAGGACTTAATACAGTGTTTAGTCCATATGCATTTTTATTTCATATTTGCTGCATGGAAATTTAAGTTTGGGTTAGGGTTTTTTATATACATATTTTGCCTCATGTTAAAATAGGTAGTTAGTGTTGAATATTAAAAAGGGGAACTGCATATTTGTTTAAGCTTATTTGAGTTTTTAAAAAGTATTTTAATAAGTTTTTAAGCAAGTGAATACAAATGCTGGGATTGGTTTAATCCTTCCCTGAAATGTCAGAAGAGCCAACAGCATCTGGCTGGGGCATGAAAACAAGAGAAAGCTGTTTAATGCTCCTGCAATGTAAAAAATGTCAGATAGTCTTAGTGTGGAAGTGTCTGATTTAAAGATGTATCTTAAAGGTTTTCTTTTCTTACAAATACCTTCCTTATAAGAAAATAGCTTATTTTGATATCTTAGCCATTTAAACTTAAGCAATTACTTTATTTGAAGATTGTTAACCTAACAGTATTTACTACAAGTTAGAGGTACTCTTGCTGCTTATAGGAATATTAGTGGAGCAGCCTTAATCAATTACTAAAATACTTCATATACCCCCCAAAAAAATCTTCTGTGACAAGTAGGGATGTAAGAGACTAGCTGAGTCACTACTCAATTGGTCGCTGCTAGAGGCAGCAATGGGAGGGGGGAGCAGGAGCCGGTGCTGGGTGGGAGGGGGGGGAAAAGAGCCTGGCTTAACAGCTGGTTCCCCCCAGCACCATCTCCATGGAGGAGCAGAGCTGCAGCAGGGGACTGGGCATGAGCCAGGATTCAACTGTCCCAGCTTGCATCTACTCCCCTGCTGCACCTCTGCCTTTTAAATGCAGTAAAAGCCGCTTGGCTCTTACTGCATTTAAAAGGCAGAGTTACAGCAGGGCTAGCTCCTGGGGCCGGAAGCTAACCTCCCTGTGGCTCTGCAGTTTCCTAACAATTGAGTAGTTGATGGAAATTCCATTGACTACTTGATTAGCTGATTAAACACAATTTAACATCCTTGGTGACAAGTATACTTTTATTTAGTGTTAGAATTTTAAATAGGAAACATTCTATAAAGGTGTTTTAAATTTCTGAAAGGCTTTATTTTTTCCACAATAGTGTCTTTTCACTGTTATTTACCAAGTAGCCACTTATGCCTAAAGGAGGTTAAAATATTTAACTTCTTTTAAGAATCAATATATTCAGATGTCACTGATGAAATAAACAGCAATTACCATTCTTTTAAAATTTTATTCTGTAATACAAAACAAAAGATACAAGAAATTCCAGAATAAAGCAATAATAATTCAATGAAAGAAGTGGTAAATCAAGTACTGAATTATATGACTGAGGGCCCAGCTCAATAAATAATATTTCTGGCTTTTCCACTGTATCAGTTTAGCAGGCTTCCATAAAGTGAAAATCCAAAATTTTCATTGAAGCAGGACCTACGTGCTCTATAAAATGCTTGATTTCATGTGCTATTTATCTTTTTCTTTTTGTTCTTTTTCCTTCTTTTCACGCTCTGATTTTGCTTCCTCCTCCTCATGCTGTTTTATCAACTGTTCCACCTCTTTTTGCTTTAATACTCTAATTGTTGTCTTCCCATTCTCTCTTGTTAATGTTGCAATTTCAACTGAAAAATGGAAAATATTTGTGTTGTAAATTTTACTATAAATCAGTAATGTTTAATAACCAAGGTTATTTATTATTAGGATTGTGAAAGGAGCTCCAGGAAGTTAGGCACCAAATTCAAAATAGGCTTTGAAAATTTCAGCCAAATACCTCAATTCTGTCAATGTTTGTACATACGTTACTTACTCATGTGAGTAGAAACAAAGTGGACTACTCTTACATAAACAAAGTTAAGTAACATGCTTGTTTGCAGACTCAAGTAATTCCTGCATCTGCAAAACCAGTGGCCACTGTCCACTGAAATGGAGTGACAATATAACAGAGAGACAAGGTGGGTGAGGTAATGTCTTTTATTGGAACAACTTCTTTTGGTAAGCAAGGAAAACAGTGTGGCTCAAAAACATGTCTCTCAGACGAAGTTGGTCCAATAAACAATATTACCTTACCCATCTTGTCTCTTTAATATCCTGTGATGCAGCTACCCTCTGACACAATATAATACATTAGTTTGTTATAGAAAACTACATTATTGCTAACATTTTTTAATACAAAATTTTTTTAAACATCTCATTTATTATAATCTTTTCATATTATTTTTTAATACAATTTTTTTTTTAAACATCTCATTTATTATAATCTTTTCATAACAAGTGTGCAGGTTTTTCAGCATCAAGAAGCTAAAACAAGTCCACCTGTAAATGTGGGACAGCAGTATTGCTTACCTTTCTCTGCAGAGAGTTTACTAACATCCATGGTTTTGTTTAGCACTTTAACAGCTAAAGCAAGTGCTGATTTCAAAGTCATTTCACCTTCTTTATAGTCTTGTTTTAACATTGACACAGCTGCCTATACAACAAAGAATGCAATTTAAAGTTTTGTCAGAAAGCAAAGAACATTAATACTATTGGCATTAATGTTATAGTAGGAAATGTTTTACTACTATTTCTGTTTGTGATAGTAATGAATATGGAGTTGTGTATTTAGTACCATCCAATCATAAGCCTATTTTCCATGGACAAGTTCATATTTATTAAGAAAAAATATCTTACAGCACTATTATTCCCAATACATGTAGCTTTCCATCCTCCATAATTTCCACTAGGATCACTCTGATACAGCTGAAATCCGTAATGCTTATCCCAGCCAATGTACAGCAATGAAACACCAAAAGGACGTTTTCCTGTTAACATACAAGGATATTAGTGATCTAAATTTAGTAATAAGATTTGTCCTAAATGCTGCTTTAAAAAAAAAAAAGTCAAGGAAAATTGTTAAATCCTTTCCTCTGAACTAGGATTTAATAGACTGCTTTGTACTTCTGGTATTTTAGATAAGTTCCACTGAAATACTTTCACTGATTCCTTCTAAGATGTGAGGAAGAAAAGAATGTTGCTGTAGTCTTTCAATCTCTTATCCTACCAGCAATTCATTTCCATGTACACAAACTGGATTTTATCACCTTAGTAGCTAAAAACAAACCTTCAATGACCAGTCTTAAAAAATTGGCAGGTCCTAGGAGGAGGCTGTCTCCATTTCTGCCCCCGCCACCGATAGGGTCTCCTAGGCTACTCTAAGCTTGTCCCAAGGTGCGAACCCATTCATCCTTGGCCTGCCTCCACACCAAAAAACTGCCCCACATCTGATGGTGTGGCCATCAGCAGCGTGAGAACAGCTGAAGGCAGCGGTAAGCGCAGAAGGCTACAAGCAGCGTGAACCAACTCAGAAATGTCTAGAGCATTTTGATTGGTAAACTGTCAGATAATACAGCTTTTATTGTATTTGGAAACACTCTCTAGATCAGGGGTCAGAAGCCTTTCATAAGTGGTGTTCCAAGATTTAACGATCCTGACTTGGGCTGTGCCGCTCTCCTGGGAGGGGAGGGCAAAGAGCTCTCTCTACTGCAAGCCCCATGGACCACTTGAGTCAATGCAAACCTTTCAGTGGACAACCAGTTGCTAATGAAAATTCACTGTTAATTACATAAGTACGCCCGAGCCATTTTGCTAGTACTGCAGCTGGGGAGAACAGTTTAATTTAAATTATTAAACAGATTAAGCATTTTAATTTTCTCATGTTAGTTTATCAAACTTAATTTTAAATAAAGTAAAATATTATGTCCAACACAAAAAGTTTCAATATTTTCTTTATTTATGATGGGGTGGGGAACCTCTTTTTGGGTTGAGGGTCACTGATCCACACAAAAATCAGTTGGAGATCACACAAGTGAGAAGCAAAAAAATTCCCAAACCCCCCAACCCTTACTAATGTGGCCCCTGAGACACCTCACTCTTCTGGCACTCCAGCCCCCCCATTCCCCGAGGTGAGGGGTGGGACAGGGAGACTGAGGTTCAGGGCTTCCCATAGTCCAGATTTACTTTTCTGGGGTTTCAGAGTTAGTGGATTTTGTGACCCCCTTAGGCTCTGGGATGGGAACAAAAATGAGGGGTTCAATGTGTGGGATAGGGATACAGGATGGGGTGAGTAGGTCTGAAAGGGAGTTTGGCAGCAGGAGGGGGTGTGAGGTGGGGGTATGAGAGAAGGCTGGAGGCACCGAAAAGGTGAGAGGGTGAGAATGCAGCCACATAGCTAGTTGGAGAAGGAAGAAAAGAAGTGGGGAGTAAAGTATAGCTTCTGCAAAGTAAAATTGTATCCCTCCTCACATCTTCCCTCTGCTCCAACCTTACACCCCCTTATCCTGATCCCCTGCATCACCCCCCCATGTTCTCCCTCCAGCCACTGGGGGGAGGGGGCAAGGCAGTGGTGGAGCAGCCCCAGCTCATCCCCGAGCACTGGGGAGGAGGGAGGCCATGTCATAGTAGCTCTGGCTCCTGAGCACTGGGGAAAACAGAGGGGGAAGGGAGGAGACAGCTGGGATGCAGAGTGATATGATGGCATCACTGTCATCCTGCAGGAAATTGTGATTTTTTTATATATTAAAAAAATGGGAGAAAGAAACACTTGTTTATTATCAAGTCCAGTGTACACAATTGTTACCTGGGGGAATGCAACCACAGTGCAGATCTGTCTTTCACTTATAAAGGGAGCTGACCATATGAGCTTTCTTTGTGAAAAGCTTTTACACAGGGTAAGATGGATTTATTTGCGATTTTGGTCCCATATGAGGAGGATTTCATGCGTGCTGAACCCTTACAGCTGAGCCCTCCCAAAGCTGAACTGGTTCAGTGTCTGTGCTGCTCAGAGTTAGGGCAGTAAATCCACTCTGTGCCCTGGATGGGGGAGACCAAAGCTCCTAGTAGGAAGTCCCAGAGGGCAGGAAAGCAGGCATCAGTGGCTTGATTCCCAAGGGAATTTCTGTGATCCGACCCATCACATAGGCCAGTTGCCAAGTACTGTAAATTACTTAATAAAATCATTCTTTAAAAATTTAAAGTTCAAATATGTTTCATTTATTACCTCCAAACTGTGTATAAGCTTGCTTGATATCACACAGTGCCGTTACCAACTGCTCACAAGGAATTGGTTCTTGATACTGCAATAGATACCTAATATTAAAAAGCAAGATGAAAAATATATTTTTAAAAGCACTCCTTTGGCTCCACGATTCAGCTCAGCACAGTAATACTTAAGAGTTACAGTTCTATCAGAATGAGAATGGAAATCCCAGAACACACATAACTGACACTACGACATAAGGTACTGGGCATCATTATTTAGTAACTTTTACCAGCCTATTTGCAATGGTGCTGAGACAGCAAATTCCATGGGAACTGTACTTTTTTCCAAGAGGAGACTGACAAGAAAAGTTAGCTAGTGGAAGGATGAGAATGAGCAGAGCCTAATACAAAATGTGATGCTTAACAAGATCTTAGGCATCACCTATTGATGTCTTTACCACCAAACTTGTGTGTCAGAGTTGTTAATCACTTTGAATTTTCTAATAATGTTTAGGCTGTTTGTCACAAGAGTGAGCGGGCTCAGTATAATACCATATTCCAATAAATTGGAAACAACACGCAGGAACAGAATAAATTAGGGGAGAAAATAGCTGGCGGCCAAGCCAGGTTTTTTTGTAAATATTAAAAAAATGAGAGCGGCATGAATCTTTCATGGAAAGCTATAAGAGTGGGACAGTGAGTTATCCAAGAAGGATTGAGTAAAGAGCATACGTGCCTTTAAGTAATAGAAGTTGTGGTGAAAATTAAAATTATATCATTACTATCACAATGTAAATGTAAATTTACCATAACAAGACTACAGCAATAATATTGATTAATTAAGAAACATTTATTAAAGAATGGATCAGATTCTTGAGGGTAATAAAAGTGTATCCTTTCAAAAGTCTGGATGCATACTAGGGATGTAAAAGTATAAACATGCATACATGTTATATGCATGCAGCCTCTCCCCACCCTTGCTGCTGCCTTTGTATCAGAGGCAACAGTGTGGGGAGGCGGGCCAGGAGCTGGTGTGCATGGCCCCCTGCTGACCCACCTTGCGCCACAGAGGGGACAGGGGCAGCTCCTCAGGAGCCACCTCTCCCCCACGTGTAAACATATTTTTGTATCCCTAATGTGCATGTAGTTTAATACACATAAATGGATTTAATCCATGAGGTGATGTGACAAAAAATGTTTCTTTAAAAGAAACCAAATTTATATTTGAGAATACTTTCTATGATTATACAGTATATTATTTCCTTATTTAAGGAATCAGACAACCTTGAAGCTACACGTTTATTAGGTCTTTACTTAGCTTTTCTGTAGTTAAAGGTATTTTTTTAAATGACATTTCTGAAGTAAAGTACACTGTCTTCCTTTAACATATTAACAATAAATTCATTAGCATTTCACTGAAACAGGATAAATCTTTAGTGGATGTAATGCAAAATTATCATCTATTTTATCCAATGTAAATGAACAGGGGAAAACAATATTGTTTCCTTTATTGTTCTAAATGACTCAGAAACTTAGATATAAACTGCAGCTGATTTGAATACACAACAAGGAAATGTACTGACAGATTGTTGTTTTCCATTTTGTTGGCCTGGTTTGTCAAATCATCTAAAACTGAACAAATTTATCTTCTGCTAGCATTTTAATTATCTGAGTAGTGTTAAAGTTGGGTATACATTCCATAATTACATAACCCACAAAAAAGGAGTCTCAAATGCAAGGAATTACACTTTACACCATGTACAAAATTGGACCAGAATAGTAAATAAAAATTATGAAATAAGCAGATCCAGAAGTTCAATTTTTTGACTGATACCAGGTATTCATTAAACCATTGGTTAAGTTCATGTAGATGATAAAAGCAGTCAGAACTATTCCTTTTTACACCAGTCAACCACAAATGAAAGTAAAAGTAAAACTTACGGCCAAAAATGTAGAACATTTATTTCTTTTGTTTGATTAAGCTTAATTTAATTAAACTTTGTTTAATATATATATACACACACAGAACAAAAGGGGAGCATCATTTTGGGAGATGAGCAGAATCCCCTGGGATGCTAACATGAAGGGGAAAGGAGTCCAGGACAGCTGGCAGTATTTTAAAGAAGCCTTATTAAAGGCACAGAAAGAAACCATCCCGATGCATAGCAAGAGAGGCAAACATGGTAGGAGACCGGATTGACTTA